GGACCTGCTGGAGAGCAGGTCTGTGGAGAGGGACCTGGGTGTCCTGGTGGACGACAGGTTGACCATGAGCCAGCAATGTGCCCTGGCTGCCAAGAAGTGCAATAGTGTCATTGGGTGCACTAAGAAGAGTGTGGCCAGCAGGTCGAGGGAGGTTCTCCTCCCCCTCTACTCTGCCCTAGTAAGGCCTCATCTGGAGTACTGTGTCCAGTTCTGGGCTCCCCAGTTCAAGAAAGATGAGGAGCTACTGGAGACAGTCCAGTGGAGGGCTACAAGGATGGTGAGGGGACTGGAGCATCTGTCCAACAAGGAGAGGCTGAGGGACCTGGGCTTGTTTAGCCTGGAGAAGGCTGAGAGGGGACCTTGCTTATAAATATCTTAAGGGTGGGTGTCAGGAGGATGGGGTCAGACTCTTTTCAGTGGTGCCCAGCGACAGGAAAAGGGGCAACAGGCACATACTGAAGCACAGGAAGTTCCAGCTGAACCTGAGAACTTCTTCATTCTGAGGGTGACGGAGGATTGGAACAGGCTGCCCAGGGAGGTTGTGGAGTCTCCTTCTCTGGAGATATTCAAGACTCGCCTGGACAAGGTCCTGTGCAGCCTGCTGTAAGTGACCCTGCTTCGGCAGATGTAGATGACCCACAGAGGTCCTTTCGAACCACTAACATTCTGTGATTCTCCAGTATACATTGAGGCAACCCAGTATATGCAGTTTTTAAATCACTAAGCTTCGTAATGAAATCACATACAGCTTGTTGTATCAATAGTGTGCTTCAAATACACAGGTATTAAAATAACTGAAAAACACAAATTACTGTCAACACGTACTGCTCTGGCAAGTCTTTTTTCCTAACATTTTAAAAGTTACACACAGAGGTTTACTTTTTTTTGAGTGAATGGAAGTATGGAAGACTAAGCCAACACGCGCACAGGCGGCAAGCCTGGCCATACCGAATTTACTTGTGGTACGCTACGGATAAAGAGCTGGTTTCCACCTCCTGGAATCGCGGCAGCGTACTTTCTGACGTTTGGCTTCACGCAGTAACGCTCTGTTCAAGCTTCCTTTCTAAACCCCGCATTCTGGGGGGACAACACCGCAACCTGCAGCGGCGGCAGCTTTACAACGAGACCTCCGGCAGGCTCGGCGCGTTAAGCCTGCGTGTTCCCAACAGCAAACCAACGCCAGCGGCGAGCCCTCCCGTACCTGAGCCCCACCGGGCCGCGTACCTGGGTTTTTTTCCCTGAGAGCAGAGCGGTGTTCCTTCAGGA